ATCTGTCTTCACTACCTTGAATTTTTCTTCATTCTGCAGAATTGAAATACCTTGAGTAACTTAAGTCAGTTTTGGAGAAATTAACTCCTTTTAATCTCTTGACATTATGAATGGTGCTGTGGAAGGGCTTTGGCTGTAGCATCTGTGTATTTTACTTCAACAAGTGAAACAGGCTGGCTGAATTAAGTGTTATTTTCAGGATGCAACCCTTCCTTCCTGCAGCAGCAATCGGCAGGCTAAACAGAATTTGACCACTGGAAATTATTTTGATTTTTGAGGCAGAACTATGAATTTTCAAAGCAAATGCTTTCACTGAGTGCATGGTGGATTTCCAAGGTCTCACCCTGAGTGCGCAAAGAGATATTGAAATGCTTTTGAAAAATATCTTTTTGTTTTGTTGTTGTTGTTTTCCTAATTAATCCTGAGATTCACGAGGAGGTCAGCTTATACTTGTTTATGCAGCTCGCCCGGCGGGCGGGCGGAAGGAAATATCTAGTGTGCTCATAATAAAATCCAAGTATCTTTCTGCATTGGGCAACTGAGGAAGCACGTGGGACCAGAAAAAGAAATCCCTTGATCACAATTTAGCAAGGAAAAGCAACCAGAAAGCCACAGAGAGGACTTTCAAAAATATATGCAGGAAAGCATCTGATCGCGATTTCTGGACTGTGCTACAAACGACACTGGTCGGTTGGCAGGGAAAAGCTTCAAACTGTGATTTAATAGATGTGTTTATATTGATTAGGAAATAGAGCACTATCAGGCACCTCCTAAGTTACAAGGCTCCTCTGTTAGAGATATCCTATCCTATAATCCTTTTCATTAACTTAGCAGCTGAGGAGTAGTTAGGGTATTTGCTCCTCTTTTTCTGCAGAATATCCAAAAGAAGCTGTGAGGAAGCAGACTGTTCTACAACTTCAATTATAATGTTAAGAGATTTCTAATTTCCAACCTTAATATTGTAATAGTCTTTTAAGGCCTTTACACTTACCAGTTTTTGTGCAAAGTTTGTCCTTATATTGTTCTTCTCCCTTCATGATGCTTGCCCCATCTGTATTTATAGATTGGAATTATTCCTTTGTGGCTTTTGTTTTGCTAGACTGGGTAAATTAAGTGTTTTTTAGTACTCTGCAGGCTCCTGTCACCTGATCACCCTGACAGCTTTTCTCTGCAGCTGCTCCAATTTGAAATTCCTTTTTTTGTGTGTCGATTTTTAACTGTTACAATGAGAATTATGCACTGTGTTCCAGATGTGGTCTCACCAGGGTATTGTGCAATGGCATGATTTCTTTCTTTTCTGCTTCATCTAATGCATTTCAGAATTACGTTATTCTCTGCCCTCTTTGCAGCGTCTCACCTTGATGGACCTGGCTGTTAGACAGTTCTGGCCTGGAATAAATGTTGTCTAGATTGCTTGCTCTCTCTATTAAACTGATGCTATAACCCACTTTTCCATTGCAATTTTTATTCTTTCATTTTTGTATGCTATTTTTGTAAAAATTTTTGTGTGCTGTTAAGATTGTGTTTGTTGGTCTGTTTATTCCCTCTTAAAAAAAAAGTTGGCAGTATAGTTGCAGTTCTGCTATCATTATGGATGTGATATTTTCTTCAAAGTATTTACTGTGCCTACAGTCTTGTGTGTCCCTCTTCTATAATTCTGAGGAATGAATTATTTTTGATTACATTAACTTTCTTCACTTTTAATGCATTCCTGTTCTCCGTTTGCCTTTGTTTTCATGTCTGAGACAACATGAGTTAGGATTATGGTGAAGCTGGGGCTCTTCATTTCATCCTCTCTCTTTAGTAGTTGCATTTCTTTCCCTTTTTTTATCCCATTACAAAAAGCTTCTCAAGACTGTGTGGTTTTTTTGTTTAATATTCCTTTCAGTGTCTAGTTTAATTTTACTTTTTACATGTCTGAGCGGCAGTTTTCTGTGCTGATTTTTCTTTCTCTCCTCTGCCTTCCTTGTCTGCCCCCATTTTTCATAGGACTGCTGCTTCTTTCTGAAATCTTACTTGGACGAGATTAATGATGATTGGCTTTTCAGTCACCAAGATTTACCCCTTCAACTTGAGAGGTGGATTCTTCAAAATTTTTAGCGTCTTTGTGTTAAATGCCAGACTCCTTCCATATCTCTTTGCTAACCTTCACGTTATTTCAGTGTATCCTGTTGAAATTCAAAGACCTAGTTACACACCCATTTGGGGTTTTTCATCCTTCTGTTTAAGTAAAAATCCACTAATAGATCAGGCTATAGGCAGCTATTTTATAACATCGTTATTAGTTAGTGAGAACAGTCTTAAAGTAATTGAGTCATTTGCTGCTCCAGTAACGATTTCATAAATTTATCAGCTATTAGCTCCAAGAATAACTAGGCTTCCACTTAAGAGTGTGATTTGTTCTCGTTTTGTGTCTGAGTAATTATTCCCCTAAAATGACACAATTGTCTTTATTTTTACCTGGTGGTAAAGATGTGCTTCCATATCAAATGCTGACCTTGGCACGCATGCCCAGCTAGTCTAGCGTCTCTAACAGAATCTCTTTTACCTATTTCCTTCCCCAAGGTATTGGACTCAGAGATTTTTATTCTTATTTGTTATGTTTATTCCAGTTTGACGCATCCCTGACACACAATGTTCCTCTCTCTGTTTTGAATGTTGTCCGTCCCTCAGGACGTGTGCTTTTAGCGACAAGTGCTGCTCCACCATACTGCAGTTACTCCACTTATGAGTGTGCACGTCTTCTGTTATCTTTTCACTCAAATCCTGCACTAGTAGTCCCAGGTTCTCCCACTACTGTTGTGCAAACTCCTTCTATTTTGTATACATGTATTGAAGTCATTTCTTAGTAATCAAATCCCTTCCCTTTCTGTCTCCTATTCAATGTTTTTTTTCGTTTGGTTCTGGCATACTGAATCTTCTTGGTGATTTGCTGGCCTTATGCCTTCAATAGTGCCGCAATATTCCTGATAGTCTTAAATGATTGAAGGCTACTAGTGTTCATTCAGTCTTTCTCTAAACTTTACAAAATAAGCTATATATTGCAATTATGTTGTTTCTGGAATAACCTTGTAAATTTAGAGTCAAATTCCTTACCGTTATAAAGTACTTTCACTAATTAGAAACGATTTAAAGTTGTATAGGCTTTTCAAACACTAAAAAGCACTCTCTCCTGTTTACATACAAAGAAACAGGAAAGGGATTATATGAAGTAAATCCCTGTGATTTAGGGACTGGATTTTGATACCCAGTTTGGAACCATAGAATAAATTAACGTTATGGACACAGGCATTTTTCTTCTTACGGTGCTATAGTCCCAGTTAAATGAATATTTAGAAAGGATTAGTCTGCCAAGTGGAACGTGACTAGGTGATCTGTATAGTTCCCCATACACTAAAATCAAATTTTCTAATGTAGCCTATGTAACTGTTTGTATAACCAGTAAGCCAATGTAACCGATTACTCTATTCTGCCTTTGTATAAAATAACAGACGAGACTCCATATGACCTTGTTTACTTAGCTTATCTACAGCTGCTCCTTCTGTTAATGTAACTCAGTGTCGCACGTTACCTTTTCTCCCCAGTCCCTCTTACACATGCATTGGAGAATTAAAATAACGTGATTCATTTTGTTAGATTTATATGCTGGATAGTTCCTACAAAGGAGGTTCAGCGCAACACTAAAGCTTTAGCTGCTGTAACTTGCTGAAGCGCGTGCTGTCATTTCTCATTCTTGAGAAAACCCTCTGGCAGTTTGCAGTTACTATCAACAGCCTTGAAGTTTGTATTTGAGAGAAGTTCTGAGCCTTCACACATGCCCACCTGCTCTATCCTTCTCAGTCTTCCACGCAAAGCATATGACCAATCGTATAAATGTTTCACTTAGGATGATTAAGGTTGTACTGGAATAAAATGCCAAAGTACACCTGGGTTTATCAATGGAAAATAGGCTAACAGTTTTATTTGCATCCTTTCTTCCTGCTTTGTGCTTTGTAATTCTACAGTTTACTAAAAATTGCTTTTAAATAAGTATACTCCCAGTGTATTATTGGTTCACAGGTGCTGTAACTTCTATAAGCATGCATACCAATTAACTAGCTTCTTTATTGTCATATTCCATGTATATTCTTTAATTATCCAGGAGGATTCGTAATCTCTGTGCAGAACCATTTACTGATAAAAGGAATATGCAGTCATCTTCTAGTAAGGCTAGATTTGTGTTGCTGCCACTAGAAACATAAACTTTCAAATCAGAATTAATTTATAGTGGCTCCTAGCAAACAATTCTTTCAATTTTGAATAGCTTGCTGTGTGTTTGATAAATGACGCTCTTTCTTCACGTCATCCTTTTAAAGTATGCAGAATGTTCAAAATTAAAGTCAAACATCAATTTCGGTGTCTTCTGATGGCAACATAAAGGTAGAGTGCAGCTAGATTTTCTTGTTGACCTTATCAATGCTGACTGCTTCCCATAAATCTATATGGTCTAATGATATCTCTTTCAGTATAGCTTATTCCATTTCATATAATAGAAGTTGATGATAAAAAAAGTTTATATGTAAGCAAGTGCTGAGTTGTTTTCTTTCCTGAGTTGTGTGTTAAATAACTATTATGTTGAACCAGTCAGTGAAAATGTTTTTCTTTTCTCATAGATTTTCCTTAACAAAGACTTCTCTTTTCTCATCGCATACAAAGTGCTGTTTTAATGATCCTGCTAATTTCACTAAATCACGTTGTCTTGTTTTAACTTCTTAAAAATTTCCTGTAAAAGAATGTTTCTGTCCAGTTGAAAAGCCGTCGTGTGATAAGCACTGTTATTCTCACGACAGCGTTAGATATTTGACATTATTGTAATTGCTTCATGAAGCGTATTTAAATGAACACTATCTTGGAAGTTATATATTCTCCAGTTTGGTCTAATATTGGGTATCACTGAAAATTTGTTCTGCTCGAATCTGAATCTTTTCTTTTTCCTTCAATTTCCTTTCCCTTTTCACTAGATTACTGTTTACAAAAGTCAAATTGGAATCTCTGTGCCGAGGCCCAGATGAAGCACTCCTTACATGTAAACACATGCTTCAGATTTGGAAATCCTGCTATAATCTCACTAACCCAAGGTAAGATGCTGCAGAATTCTATACTGCAAAACTCAGGAGTGTGTTGCTCAGTTCCAGGATAGTATTAAGTCAGTCGTCATGCTTTTAGTTGTTCTGATATTTCATGCAAACAAACTCTGGGAATCCGGGGAAATGGAGTCTGAAGTGCAAAGATAGCAGTTGACAGATATGCAGGAACCACCCTGCGGTCTGTGACGTTAGATGCACCAAAGCTAATGAACTCTGCCGTGATGAGGCGTGATTACAGAGTGTGGGCGACTCTGCCATGCTCATTTTACTAGTATTGTCTAGTTTTTACCCCTGATCTGAGTTACAGAGCCTCAGTTATCCTGGCTAGTGGAGAGATTACTGTAGTGTAAATTATTTCAAGGGCTTTCACTGATTTACTTAATTAAGAATATAGAAACAATAGAGTTAGAGGTCACAGGGATGCTTGACAAGCTTGGAAAGTCGGCATGGCTTTTGTAAAGGGAGGTCTTACTTACAAACCTATTTCAGTTCATCAGAGGGATCAACAAGTATTTGGTTAAGTTGATATGCTTCTGTTTGGGTTTCTGAAGGGCTTCTGTGAAGGTGCTTTCCAATATATGTTTAGATGAGCTGTGAAATAGAAGGGAAGGTAATTGTATGAGTAAATGCTTAGTTAAAAAATAGGAAAGAGTAGGAGTAAATAATCAGTTTTCATGCTGGAGGAAGGCTACCAACTGAGCTGTGCAGAAATCTGTGCTGATACCTGTACTACTCAACATGTTTAGCAAGTACCTGGAGAAGGGGATAAGCAGAATTTCGTGCTGTCTGGTTGTTCAAAGGTTTGGCAGTTGCTTTTTCTGGAGGGGAAATGCTACAGGAGATGCGATTTGTACAGCTAGCATCAAATACCTTTTTAGCATTATGATCAACAGTATCTGTTCAGCTTTGTTCAGTCTTAGTTATGTAAATACATACATTCCTTTAAGAAGTTTGGATGAGTTGGAAACTTGTGGGTGGAAAGGGAAAATTACTTCCTCCCTTAGGGAGCTAGTGAACAGTTCAGAGCTGAAAAGTTTGGAGAGCATGACAGGATTAGTCTGTGAAGAGACCCAAGTTGATCATAGCTCATTCAGAGAGACTCTGACACTGCAGTGCAGGCCAGGGAGCAGGACTTGGAGATGGTAGAAAGCAAGCACGTCAGGGGCCAGAAAGGGCTGAGCAGAATTTGTTGCAACTCTAAATCACTGAAGTGGCAGCAAGGACTTGGCAAGAGTATTTCTCTTCCGACCTAATGGATTGGTGTGGTGGGGTCTTTTCGGTTTTGGTTTTGATTTGTTTGTTTTTAAGCCCAATATCAGAATGCTGTGCTGTGCAGAATAGTTACAATTTCTGTGTAAACTTAACTTCAGTGTGAGGCTTTGCACGTGCGCCAGTAAGACTTTTCACCTTCCATCTCTCCTGTTACATTCTCTGTACAGACCGGGACTCCAATCATGGCTTATCATTCATTACTTTTTTATTTTATTGTGTTGAGAGCTACTGTGGCATTTTAAATGCAGGTTAAGTAATGCTCTCTTCAGATGTCAGCGGTGATTCTGACTGAAACTTTGCTCCTTGGCTGTGTCAACTTCAAACAGCAGTGTTTGCTAAATGTTGTCTCAGTTCTTCTTCAAGAACCTCCAAGTGAAAAAGTTTGACGAGGAATACCTTGCATCTCATATCTGATGCAGTTTTTCCTGCATTTTTTTTCTCTTAACATGTAAAGTTTTTCTTGAGGCTCTGGGTTTTGATGGCAAAAAGAAATTAAAAACAAATAGGGAGTGGAGTAGAAAGGAGCTGTGGGTAAGTGCCACGGTGGAAGGAGCCAGGTTTCACAAATCGCACATTCACAGTTATACTGAACAATATAATCCCGATACCAAGCAACAGCCTTTCTGTGGACGGTCCGTGTGAAATTTAATGGCTGAGTATCTTAATGTTATATCGTGTAAGGAAGGTACATAAGGTGGTCTAAAGCTGTCCAACTCATAACAGCAGTTATCACTGTGACTGAAATTTAACTGTTAAGTTCTGTTCATCCAGCTGCACTCCAGGTGTGGAAAAGAATAATGCAAGGTTGTTGTGAAAACTTAAAATTTACAACCTCTGTAATTCCTAACACACTTTTTTTCCACTGGAAAGCATTGTTTGACAATAGTATTTCCCACTGGAAGCAATTGGTGAACTTTAATATAAAGTTCATTAGGATAATAAAAATAAGTCTTTTAATGACTTGAAACCTTTTTAGAATGTTATTGTTCAAAGACTTAAATATTCTTCGCAGCATTTCTCATTTGGAACATCTTTTCCTGTTCTGATTTAGACTGGAAAGTAATTCTGAAATATCATTTTCCTGATGAGATAAAAATTCCCTTTCTGATGAGCACTGTTTGATGCTAAATATTTCTTCTTGCAGTTAATCAGCTTTTGTGGAGTAAAGCTGAGTTCAGTGTCCTCCTAATCTTTTACTAATGAAAATAAATTGCGAATAACTGGATATACCACATGAAGTAAGTGCTAAATGCAGCACTTCACCTTACCTTTTTTCAGCTGTTTTAGAACAAATTTCTTTTGAGCATACAAACCAATGTTTTCTCATTAAATGGTTGTACGAAGTTAGAAATTATTTTGTGATGCAAGCTTGAAAGGTTTAGGGAATAAAGATGATATCAGAGCGTTTATCTTCAGCCTGCCGCTTGAAGTACATTTTACAATAGTTCAGTTCTTTTCCAGTTCTTAGTTTGCATTAGGAGAACGGAACCGACCATGATGTCAGTGATGTGTTTAAAAGATATTTACGCTCAGCCTTGCTCTCCTTGTCAGCAACGTTTGGCATATCGTTGCCTGTGGATTGAGGAAGTAATTAATACAGCGGTTACCAGAAAATGTGCGCCAACTGGTGTAATAACTATAGCTGATAGTCTGTGTCCCAGAAAGCTCCCTTCTGTTTCCTGTGGATTTCCATAATGGCATCATTTTGTAAGGAAATCATAGTCTCGCAATAATGTTAGGGAATCGAAAACTTTTATTTGTGTCATTTTAGCAGCAGCTGTACAAAGAGAGGAAATTGTTTCACTGTTTTTTTGAAGTGTGGAACTATAAAGAGTTGCTGAAAGGCTTCTTGCGCTTCTGTCCGCTCACATCCAGGAGGAGGAGGCAATTCTAAAATTAAGGCAGATGTAAAGATGTGCTGGCTTCCAGTGATGCCGAGACTTTGCTTTAAGATAGGAATTTTGTGGAGTTTTTTCCTGCTGGTGTAAGATGAGACTCAGACAAAAGTTTGCACTTTGCTAAATGGGGCTGTCATTGTTTTTTTTTTTTTTTTTTTTTTTTCTCTTTTGAAAATTTAAAATGAGTATTAATTGATAGCAAGTAAAGATGGAGCATCCATATGTGCTTTTTTCTCACTCTCTTCTGTCCATGTGTTTCAATACTCACCTCATTATAAGGCTAAGGAGGACTTCGTTCTTCAGTTCCTGTTCTTCTGCTGAATCTTTACTCATAGTTCTGGGGGCAATTAGTTTTTCAGCAAGTAAATCAATAAGAAGTCTGAGGGACAGATACTGAGTTATAGCTGAAGTAGAAATTCAGTGCATTTGTCCACAGGACATATGTCCACATCCATAAAAATCCGTAAAATCCAATCCATAAAAACTGCTGGAACCTCTTAGGCACCTGACTGTTTGGAAGTGTTCAAAATGGCCTACTGCACTATTAAGATCAAATCCAGAACAAGAGTTATAACAGTATTTGGCAGTAATATGTATATTAAAAAAAAACAAAAACAAAAAACTCCGGAGATAGATTTTTTTTTTCACAAAAAACTCACCTTTTTATGTGAAATGTATTTATAACATCTTTATAGCAACTTTACCTAAAATTAGACGTCCTGAGTTCAGTGTTTCTCTTTAGCATGGGAAAATTGGGGATTCTCAAACTCATATCTGCCATCTTGGGTTATCTTGATAACTTTACCTTATATTATATGAAAGTTTAATTAAAGTTACAATAATTTTTTTTGTAAAGCTCTTAGTCCTAAATTAAATATTAAGTCTATATTCCCTCATTGGTTGTATTAATTATGAAACTAAAAGTGGTGAAGTAAATATGGATTCAAGTTTTGCTGAGCTAATTTTGATTTATGCAGCTGGCTTGATGTACTGTGAGTGATTTGCAGTGCTTGGTACTAAATTCGTTCATATTTTTAGCAAGAATCTTTGTGGGAGGAGGGCAGCATGCAATTTGTATCTCAGTACATAATTTTATGTTTTAATGGCTTACATTTTCTATACTTGATTACAGTGATTCTGGACGTGGGAGCAGCCTGTTAGACAGAGCTATTGCTGATAGACGACAGCTTAATACAATTACCTTACCAGATTTCAGTGATCCTGAAACAGGTAAGAATTTCATTTGAACAATAAAATTAATGAAGTGAACTGTCCATACCTAGATTTTGCATCAGTTATTTTTGTCTTGTTTTGCAAAATGGAATTATTTATGGTGAAAATATTTTCACTGTTCTGAAATGAGTGCAAATAGCCACTTTGCACTGTAAGACTTTTTTCTTTTTTGTTTCTGAAGCACCTGCTGCCCACCTTCTCTCTAAATTAGCATGTCTATGAAATGGATCTTGCTGAGCTTAGTGGTATGTTCTTAACAAAAATCAGTATGCTGAACTAGCCTGTTCTCCAGTCCTATGCTTGTCCATCCATTAGGTATTTATAATTTTTTTAAATGCAAATCCAGAACATTTAAGAAAACTTCAAATGTCAAAAAACTCAAGATATCATTAATAATTAAACGAATTAAAATCTCATTAGTAAATATATATAAAATAGAATTAGATAGGTGGTTGGCTCACGAGACATATGTAGCTTTGACACTGAGGAAAACATATTTGTTATGAACTGTATATGCTGCATAGTGCTGCACAGGTACAGCACGTAACGGCTAAGATTTGTACATGGCAATTAATATTCGCAATATGTAATTTTTCTATTTTAATATGTTCAGCTATCATAACGCCAATTAATATGCCTTGAAAGTCGTATAAACAAAGAACTGGTAACCACAGTGACTACATGCCATGCATTCTGTGAAACTTGGAGAAAGAATTAGTATGTTTATGTTAGTTCCAAAAACCTGTACAGAACATTACCTGCATTATACATATTGAGGTTTTTCTTTTTCTTTGTTTTTATGTCAGATGCTATGGGCATGTTCTTCCTGGCTACTTTCATATGTGCCTTTCTGCTTAATCAGACTTCAATACATACTGCTTACGGAAAAGTTTGCCAGCCAATGAATTAGAATACACTGACCTGTAAATCAGGATACAATAGAATATGTAAAGTTTCTCTTTCTTTAATAACAGAATTGAGCAGTAGAGAAAAATTTATTTCTTTCATTTCTGAAACATGAAGTTGGATCAAGTGTTCACTAGCTTTTGCAATCATGCATATATGTAGGAAGAGCTCTGGACTTGCTGCAACGGCAAACAATTTTGATAAGGGTCTGGTCACCTGATTTCAAAGAATTGCAAGCTGATACCGTCTATAAAGTACAGCCTAGTAACAGTTTGGCCTGTTGCCTCTACAGTAGCTTTATTTTCTTCTGTCTTCATGTTTATATTCTTTTAATAAAAATGAATAAAATATCAGGAAACCTGGTAGCAATTGTTCCTTATTCTGGTCTAACTTACGTTTTCATTTTAAGAACATAACTGGATTGTAAAAGGTTCATATGTATGCAGATAGATTATAGATAATTTATTTTATACCTTCGAAAGAGTTCTTGTTTTGTATTCTCCTGTGGGACACCTAGCTGTTGTTCAGCACCCGTAGGGTGTCCTATTTTATATGTGCCACACTTCAGAGCATAAAGAGTTGATGCTTTTTTAAGACTACGGCTTTTTCTTACGTAAAAGCCTCAGGGCTTTTACGTAAAGGCAAACACTCATCCAGAACTATGAGCTTTTCAAGAAGCTTGCCCCCACATTCAAATTTTGCAATTGGAAACAAGATCTATGCATTCTGATTTTGTAGAAGTTCTCATTTGTCTTTTTTCTGAATCTTAGCCATGTGGCTGGAGCTCATCTCTGCTGTCAAGGAGGAAAAGATGGGAAAGAAAAATATGGGATTTGTCTATTTAGTTTGTTTTTCTTATAAAAGGTAATTGTGGGTGGGTGAGGGCGTCTTGTGTTTGTGTGCTTTAATTCTAATTAAATAAAAACTGCAGCAATGCCAATACTCAAATTCTAGAATGGGTTGGGTCTTTGTTGTACTGTATAGATACACATATAGAGAAACTCCATACTAGAGGTGTTTAGAAATTCAAATTTTGTGCTGAATTCTTCATCTGGAAGTTTCTTTAAAAACTTAAAGCATTATGATACAATAAGAACAAAAGAGATGAAAACTGGCATAGTATTTGAGTGAGAAAACTTTAGCTAGACTATAACAAAAAATTCCTGAACAAAAGCTCTTTGTTGATCAGTAGTCAAGATGTTCCAATTAAGGTCTAAATCTTAATAGGCTGAAAGAGCTTGTGCAAATTCTGTGGGTCCCCAGTGTTCAGACAGGCAGAAGAAATTTGACATTTCCAATGCTTAAGGGGGGGCTATGTGGGGAAGGTAGTGGGAAAGTCCTCAGACGACCAAAACGTTCAGTCTTCTTTATACACTGTAAAGCTATCAAGTATATGCATTTGTCTATGTATGCGTATACACAAGTGCATGTGAAACTTTTCCCCATCCCACTTTGCTTGTCCCCTGTGTAAATAATGATGCATTTTCCCTGTCCAGTCACTGCCAACCTGAGGAATATGAAAGCAGTACTAAAAACCTAATGTAAAGCCTTATGTACTTGCAACTAGTTTGTTTTCAAAGGGTTTTAAGATTCAGTTAGCTAAACTGGTATAAAACATTCTTTTTGGTGGTTATATGCGTTTAGCTGAAATTGAAATAAAAAGTTCTTCAAAAAGAGTGTTTATAATTTAAGTTTAAATTAGTGTGATTTTTTTAAGTGTAAAGACAGTGTATTCTGGATTTCTTAAAAGGCTAGGCTGTTAATTCTAATGCCCAGATCAAATAGTTTAAGTGTGGTAAATCTACTTAAAGTTTGCCTCCCATTTTAGCTGCTTTGTCGTGAGAGGCATGTATTCGTATTTGTATCTATTGGTGAAAAAAACGAAGAAAAAAAATTTTGTTAAATCATAGAAGGGAGGCACACTCATTTCCCATCGAAAGGTAGATATACAAAATGCAAATCAATTGAGACATAGTTGACTGTTTTGATTAAGGTAAGTGACACTCCAGCTTCATAAAGTCGGATTATTCAATTTATTGTTTAGCAATTTAGTTTGTCTTAAGTATCAATGGTAGTTGAGTTTTAAACTTCAATCTTTATCTCCTCTTAAAACACATTTTACAAATTTATGCATTATAATGTAGGAAAAAACATGTAACCTTTATTTTGATTTTGAAGCTAATTTTATAGGGAAGAAGAATGCATATGACCAAGGGATTTTTTTTTAAGTTGCTTTTGGAAAAAGTGTTGTTTATTTTATGTAGAAACCATTTCCATCTTACTGAATGGTGAAATAAATGCTTTCTGTTTTTCACATCCATGAGTCCATTAAACCCTGTTCTTGGATCTTCTTCTTTTCCACCCCCTGCCCTTATCATTCTCTTTCTTTCGCTTTTTAGCCTCTGATACTTCCTCATCTTCTCTCTCAAGAACAGAATCTCCTCTCCAACTGTTTGTATCTTCTCATCTTCCTCATCCTAAGCCAGATACCTTTGTCTGGCCCCATGCAGCCTCTCCATACTGTGACCAAGTTCCTGAGCCCTGTGCACCTTCTCGCTGTAAATTGGTTTTCTCTTCCTGATGGGCGTGTTAGTGTTTGCTGTATTGTTCTGATAATCTTTGTAACTGATAAACAGTGTTTAAAACAATTTGAGCCTCAAAAGGGGTGTTAGTGAAATCTGGCTTTTCAGAGGCACTTGATGAACTACTGAATGTATTTTAAGACTATTTGGCAAATTAAGTAGAACAGATTGTGTTATACTGATCCCCAAAGATGTATAGTTACAAATATTTTATCCTCTGTTCTCATGACTGTGAAAGAAGACGGTAGGTATTTAATGAAAGATAGTATTGGCCAACAGTACTTTGTAGCACCTATTAGTATTTTCCTTTTGGCAGTTAAACACCAAGACTGCCTCACTGCCGTGGTGATTCCTATTGGAATCTTGCCCAACAAGACTCTCTCTTCCACAAGCTTTTTTTCCTTGTCCATACAGTTTCTAATCGCCTAAGTTCAGTGCCTTGATTTGAAAGCGTTCAGCTAATTGCATACAAAACCTTCCCTGTGGAAGGGAGCCTTCCTTCAGGTGAAGGAAAAAATTGCATTAAATATCAGTGTATATTTTCTTATCACAGGGTATATTGGTGTGAGTCTAAGGAACTGTGGTTGTGAAAATCACCTTTAGGCTGCTCCAAGTCAAGAGCCACTCCCTTCATTGAAATGATGCTAATTTAAATGCACTGTAGGATTAATTCTCATGTTGTTTGTATACAAACTGTACAGTAATGCTACCAGAGAGCTCAGGTAGCACAGTAAAATCCCAGCAGTTTTCCAGATATTTCTTTTTAACTCCTTCTCATTTCTGATAAATAATCCTTCACTCATAGCTTTATCCATAAAACTTTCTGCCACTGCCATTACTCTAATCCAATCCAAAGAAATTCACTTTTGACGCTAGCCTTTAACTGATATCGTGGCAATGGCATTAGTTCCAAAACAAACAAACAAACAAATGCAACCCAAAAAACTAGAAAACAAATCTTTGAGTCTTAGCAAAATTTCCTCATTAGAGCAGCTGGCATAAGACTAAAGTTTTGAAAATGTTAGCTCTCAAGTATATGTAAGCCTGTGACCGTTTAAATTCATGAAAGCACTTCCTTTAAACTCGAGGATATCTGTTGTTCTACAGAAATTTAACAGTCTGAGGCCCGACTTTCTTCTTGAAGCATTTGAATAGCTGATTAATTACAGATTGGGCCATATTTGCATTGAACTTGCTCAGGCCTGCTCCTGTAAACAGTACCTCTTGCTTAGCATTAAATTATTTGCTCTTTGCAGAGGTGGAAGTTAATAAAAACTCACTCGAGAGTGAAGGCAAATTGGAAGCGTGGAGAAGTCCAAGCACAGATTCCGTAACATAAAGCTTGAGGTTTCCATTTTAGAGGAAAGCTACTGTATTCTCAGGGAAAGGAGCTTCCAAAATATGCACGAGAAGATGCAGAACCATAACAAACAGATATTGGAGTCCTTTGTATAGTGTAAATAATTTATGAAAGGCAACGCTCTCCATCTTCAAGTAAGTAGAAGCTTA